TTTTAAAGATTTAATTTCATACCCATAAGAAATAAGTCACTTCCGGACAAGAAACACGATGCAGGCTAAACATTTTACTATTCAATTACTTTTTATATAATATGTTTGGGAGCCTCTGGGTTTTTTTGTGTGTGTGTGTGTGTCATCCCCCCCCCCTCCCCTGCTGCATCCTCAGTAGAGTTAAAGGAAGGGAAACCCCAGCATTTTCTACCAAATAAAGAAATAAGAGTTGCAATATCATAGAAGCTTTGGTTTTAAAGAGGAGTTAATTCTTAACTTTTGGGGGCTTTGGGGCACTGGCAAAAGAGGCTTTCTGGATTGTTTTTGCAGCCCTGAAGCTACCAAGGAAAGCAATAATTTAAAAGCAGCCTCTTTGGGGTTAGGATTTCCCAGGGGGATGTTTCTTAAACACCTGTCCACTGAGCTTCACAGCTTATGTTCTTCTCCAGGAAGATGAATGGCATTGAGGTTTTGCTGCTCTTTTATAATCCTCCTATAAGGTTTTTATTTCTTAAATTTATTTTCCACTTATGTCACTGTGGCACTACTCTTGGTGGCTTGCAGTAATTAAAAAAAGGAAGAAAAGTGAACAGGTGTGTAAACCAAAGTAGAATAACAGAACAAGAAAGCAAAGGAACACAATGAGAAATAAGGACATCAATATGTTAACCCAAAAAGATCGGAGGAGAGAAAAGAGAGAGTTAGAGGAAGGGAATAAACAGAGTCTAACCATCCATCCAGAAGCCACTTCCAGAGGTTGGAAGTTCTCCATTTAAACCCCAGGCCAATAAGCAGAGTCGCATCTTCAGGACCTTGTGAAAAGATGGTGGGAGCATGCTTTTTCTTTTGCACACTTTCAGAACGTGCCAAGTGTAGCATTTCTGGGATCCAGGTAGCTTTCGCATGTTAAGAGGCTGTGAAGGTGATGAGCTTTTTGGTTGAGACTTCCAGTTATCTGTGATGTAGCAGAGCTGGGCATAAAACAACTTGTTTCACACACTTGCAAAGAACCACTCAAAACATATTTCAACTGGAGACAAAGTGGGGGAATTACAAATATTCCTAGTCAGTCTCTAGTCATCTCTGCATGTGAGAAAAAGTGAAAAAGGATCTCAAAACGCATAGCACTGTTGGCGAGAAATGAGAACTCATGGTAGAACATTGTTGTTGCGAAGTCGTGTCCAACCCATCGTGACCTCATGGACAACGTTCCTCCAGGCCTTCCTGTCCTCTACCATCCTCTGGAGTCCATTTAAGCTCACGCCGACTGCTTTGGTGACTCCATCCAGCCACCTCCTTCCCTATCGTCCCCTTCTTCTTTTGCCCTCCATCGTTCCCAGCATTAGGCTCTTCTCCAGGGAGTCCTTCCATTTCATTAGGTGGCCATAGTACATACAGATTGGAGAACTTGCGGATTGCAATTATTCTGAATAGCTGGTTTGAAGATTGCATCCTGAAGACCATTATGTTAGGAAAAAAATAGCTGATTCTTATACAAACCCAGACTAATATATATGTCCCAGGGTAATGTTGCAGGATCCAATCTGATTCAGTCACTATGACCAGAGATTTAATTTTCTGAGCTTTCAAACTTCTGCTGGAGCCCATCCCCAGGGAACTTACCTCTCACCCAATATTCCTTCTCCATATTTTGAGAATGACTGGATTGCACTCTTTTTATCATCTGTACAGTGTTGTCTGGGGCTTTAAAAAAAGTTTTAAGACAACCAGCCTGTGATGGATGCTTATAGTTTGTGAGATATGCCGCCATCTTGGCTGTTTTAACAAAACAACGCATTGGGTCGAGGAGTTTAGATTTGCTTTCTCTCTCACTATTTCTCTCCCTAAAATGTGGGCTATTTTAAAAGGGGGATTTAGTTGGAATGGCGCCATTTCCTTTGGCCGGTTTTAATCTTTCTAATTTCATATTTTTTTCCCCTTCGCGGGGGTGGAGAAGGTAGGAAGCCAGGGATGTGTTTGAAATCCAACTCTAATATTTAAAAGATGGAGTGCGTTCTTCGAGAAATGATCTGAAATAAGAAAATAGAAACCTGAAAATGAAGCTAGACTAATCATGAATGGATTCATCATATTTACACGACGGCTCCTCTCATAAAATGTTATGTTAATGTTCACTACCCAAAATTACAACTGGGAGACGGTGGCTGCAAAATCAGTGGATAAGCAGAGAAACTAGCAAAATAAAAGGATGCCAGAAAGAAATTAAGAGTTCGGTTAGTGGCTCAATCGGGATATAACATATAATTAAAAAAATCATATTTGCATAATGAATTTTCTTTCTGTTTGTGTGGCAGATTCTTAGTCTCTTCCTTTCTTTTTAAAATGTGCTTAAGGCTTTTTAGGTTTGGCTGTGAAATCTAATTGATTGATTGATTTGTACTGTTTTAGGCCACCTGACTACCAATTATTCTGGGCAGCTTACAAATAATTTTTTTAAATAAGATGAATATGCTACAATGCAAACGCTATAAACCCAAACCTCAGTTATCAAATGTGTTGATATATATGGAAATGATAAAAAAATATATCAAGGTAGAATTCTTAAACGTTTGCATGCATCTTTTAAACTAAGATTTCCCTTAATTATTATGTCAAGAAAGCTGCGATACAAAAAAAATATTCTTTGGTTTTAGGTCTCCCTAGCATCTGTTCTTAACTACAAAGATGCCAATATAAAAAATAAGTGTTGTGAAGTCTATATCCTTTTGTTATTTGCAGCGTGGTGGTTTTTATTTTGTCACGTCACTGCTATAGACCCCACAGATGTACATTTATAATTATATAGAAATGTAGAATATGGAGTTTTGTAACAAAACCCGTCATCCATAATTCTTCAGTTTTCATCAGCAGAGTAATGATAAACTTCTCATCCACTGGATGCATTTCTCTCTTGCAGGCTTGGGAAGAAATGGCGATGTTAAGAAATGTTAATAACATTCACTCAAATTTTAGTTCAACATTGTTAGTTGCAGAGATTCTTAGCATGAGAGAGAGAAGCGGATTTTTCTCAGACTAAAATTTCCCTGCCCCATTCCAAAATAGAAGGAAAAAGTCATTTTAAGATTAACTTTTATCAGATTTGGCTAGCTCCAGGGCTGTAGTTATGAGATTTCCAGTTCCTGAATTGTTTTTGCTAAGATGGCTCGATTAAGGATGCTTAGCGTAATAACGTTAACATTTCACTGGAGCTTCACTGATTCTCACTTTGGCATCTGTAAAAACTCATTTGTTACTTGACTTTTACTAGACTTTTACTAGAATCTTTAAAAGGCTATTTATTTTGAAGTCGTTTGAATTGTTTTACATTTTACAAATTGTAAGCCATCCAGAGTCACTTGGCTGAGATGGGTGGCTACAGAAATTGAATGAATGAATAAATAAAATACAGTAGGAATTTAAAATAAGGCACATAGAGCATCTCCCCTTACACACACACACAGACACACACTGTACATGCATGCACCCAAACACATAGACATGCTCGCTGTTTGTTAATCTAGTAACAACAAGGAAAGAAATGTATCTGATCCAAAGAGAGAATGTGGATTTAAATCCCTGCACAGCAGCACTGGGGATCCATCGGAAACAGATTATTAATCCATCATCCCTATTTTACACAATTAACATAACAAACCCTTCTGTATTATCACTCTCTTGAATTTTAGTATTTAATGACTATGGGCCTCACAGTTTAATGATTGGTATTATATTATAGTTGGGCCATGCTGTATTTTGTTCGGGTGCAACTGACAGATTAGATGTCAAGTTGTGATTTTAAAAGAGTTTTTATTTGTTATTTTACTCTATAATTTTTTAACTGGATATTCCTTAAGTGTTTTTAACTTGTTCTGGTCTTTGACTGTAGTAAATATTGACTTGACTTGACTACCCCTGCCACTAAATGAACTTAGTTAGAATGAATTTGTTAGAACAATTTTTAATTGGAACTAGAAA